GGCGATAAACGCGTAATCGGATGCGCATACGTTCGGGAAGGAAAAGGGGGAAGGGGGGGGGGGAGATGGGTGGAAGGAGAAGGGGAATGGAAAACGTCGAAAGGGTTGAGGAAGAAAAACGAAGGCCGGTAACAATAGTCGTGGCCAATTAGCGAGTTCTCGTCGAACGACGCGGTGAGAAAAATTAGCTGGAAAACGCGAGGCGTGACGAGGAATTCGAGGCTTTATCGGCAGCCAGCGGCGCGATGAGAGAGCCAGGAATTCGCGTAATCGTTTACAGTTTGTTGAGTAATCGCGTCGATCCGGCTCTGGTAATTAGAGGAAAGTGAAAAGGAAAGTAGGGAAGAGAGTGGAAGGAAAGGAAGAGGACGAGAGCGTGGCTATGGTTCCCTCGCAATTAGCGCCGTCTGGCGGCCTTCGATCGACCGGATCAGGCTAATAAGCCGATATCGAGAGCTGGCCAGCGGATAGAAACGTTTTGCGGAACAGGTCGATTCGATCGGATCGGATCGGTGCGAGCGTATCGAACGTGGGATCGACACGCGAGCGTTCCGATCGGTAGCTCGACCAAGTCTCCGAGGAACTCTGCCGGGTACCCAATGGCACTTTCTCATTTTTCCATAGTTGCTTCGCTTATGTTACCTCTTCGCGAAAGAACGAGTTACAAATGTACGAAACAAGTGGATTATTCGAAAAATTTGTAAGCCATTCTAATGGCGCATTCCGTCGATGCTCGGTGCTTCTGATCGACGATCGCTCGATGATGATTCGCGTAGGGAAGATAGGGTTAAATATAGAAGCATGGCGGATAAATAGTAGAAGACCTTGACTGCGTTAAACACTCGGCTCCGCGGCGAGAGATTTATAGATCTGTCGATTCATCGGTTGTATCCTTCGATACGTTCTTCAAACATAGTTACCTAATTACGACTCGATTGGAAACATTTTAAACGCTATAAATCAACTGATAAAATCCCCGAGAATTGTCCGCATTCCTCCGATGGTAATGTTTCGCCCCTTGTCTCGACCGATTCGTAAACCCGATGCAAAATGCAATGGGACCGGTGCGGACCCAGGTATCTCTGCCGGTGCGTCGGTGCATAGGTGCGCAATACGATTCGATAAATCACGTGTCCGATATCGCGTTTTGTAAACAGCTTGTAATCAAAAGAAGCTGTCGTCAACCACCGCGCGATAGGCTCTATCGCGAGCAGATAGCGACGAACAACAATTACAGAAGAAACGGTGTCCTCCCATTGGCGCGTGAGAAGAAAAGTAAGAAGAAAAAGAAGAAAAAGAAGAAAAAGAAGAAAACCGAGAAGAATGGCATGACAAGACAAGATAAAGAAGGGTCCTTGACTTTTCCATTTTCCTCGCGCGAAGACGAGGTGTTAGGTATCGGTAAATGAGAAATCGATCGTAAATCGCTCTCCCGTTGAGCGTTGCTTCGTCGGATATGCCAGAACCTCGTAAGAATGCGACGAGAGTTCAAGTGTATCTGTGACACAACGCTAACCAGCGACTAGCTAGCGATTAGTCACTGCGTTAGAACGCGCGAATAAATTATATTCAATATCGTTTCATGAATCATGCACGCTTAGTCGGTTCATTGGTGACTTCCACGCTTGATTTTTCGTGCGACCCGCTCCGATCCATTCATCCGGTGGGGACATTAGATAAACTCGTTCACCTGGCCGGCGTCAACCTTTCCGCTGCATTCCACGGCTACAGATTCAAGTTCCACGTCCTGTTTCCTGCCTCGTGAAAGTTACACGGACGAAAGGGCCGATATCTCGTGGAATCGGCCGAGTAACGGACGCGCGGCAAACTAGTCTCTCGCGATTCGGCCGCGCCGCTTTGACCTCACGTTGAATTTCTTAATTAAACGGAGCATGAATCGTCCCAGAACCAGCCGATTTCTACTCGTATATCGAAACACGCGTAAATATTAGAACGTGAAATATAAAATACAAAATATCTATCCATCTTTTAATGGATTTTGGTTAAGTTTACTTCATTCTCCTAACCTAACCTAACTTAAAAACCGTGTAAATCACGGAATAAGGAGAAATACTATACCAACGAGACTAGGAAAAATTAAACAAACAAATATTCGTAAATATCGCTGTCATAAAAAAATACTTGTCAAAAAATATATAAACGACTAGAGTCGCGATCGAAAAGATACAAGTAACGATAAAAAAGGAGGTATTAAGTTTATTTAATTCTCCTAACCTAACCTAAAAACCGTGTAAAACGCGGAATAAGGAGAAATACTATACCAACGAAACTAGGAAAAATTAAACAAATAAATATTCGTAAATATCGCTGTCATAAAAAAATACTTGTCAAAAAATATATAAACGACTAGAGTCGTGATCGAAAAGATACAAGTAACGATAAAAAAGGAGGAATTAAGTTTATTTAATTCTCCTAACCTAACCTAAAAACCGTGTAAATCACGGAATAAAGAGAAATATTACATCGATGAAACTAGGAAAAAATAAACAAACAAATATTCGTAAATATCGCTGTAATAAAAAAATAATTGTCAAAAAATATATAAAAGACTGGAATGGCGATCGAAGAGATACAAGTAGCGATAAAAAAGGAGGAATTGCTGGCGAGGAAAAGGTACCAAATACCTCGGTGATCACTAAATGT